TCAGATTACCAGAACACAAACTAAATCACAGTACCCATATCCTAGCAGCTTCTAAATGATATTCTAAACTTAAAATGATGGTAATTAATTTTGTTAAATTACTCTGATTGAACAAGGAAACAACCATGAAACCAAGTGACGAACAGGACTGAGGACAAACAAATAAAGGGAGAAACTATGTATGCAACAAGAAAACACCCAATAAAAATTTTCTCCAAATTAATACAGCAACCAAGAAACAAAAGAAATGAAGAAAAAGGAAACAAATGTAGAAAACTAAGATTCAAGATCCAAATTCTTCCATATTCTCAAGCAAACACACTTGAAAAAGGAGAAAACCAATTTATTTATTTGCTACAAACTTCAAAATACAAGATTTCTTCCTTCCTTCACTTCACACTATTTGCTGGCTCCCAAATTTCTTCCCCTCTCCCTCAATTTTTGAATCCTTTTTCAAAGCTAAAGCTTCCCCTTTTATATAGAAATAGGGAGAACTCAAACCCTTTTCTAATTCTAAATTCTTATCCCAATCCCTAAAATTACAGATAATGATTTAGTTTGGAATTCTAAAACTAATCTAGTTCTTTACACATCCTCCCTCTTTTAAGGCTAAATTCATACCTTTAAAATATCAAGACTCCCAATTTGAATCGACTTTAAAAACTTTTTCCACGACTCTTGATAAGGGCCTCAAATCCAAAAATCTCTTCTTGTGTTGTTGTGATCTATCTAAACTTTGAGTGGATTTGTAGATAAATCAAAAGAGTTTGGGAATTTTGGGGGAGTGGCTAGTGGTAAAGCAAGAGGAAGCAATAATCGTGAAAAATGAGGGCTAGGGTTTGTCTGAATCCAACCTCTCTTTTTTCATTTTTTAGCCCATTGGTCAAAACGATTTCGTTTTGCCATTTTCTTTTCTCAGCCCTTTAAGTTTCCAGCCTTTATAAGAATAGTCCATTGCCTTCCGATTTTATCATTTAGCCCCCATTAAAATTGGGTTATGACAGCACACACCTAGAGAATCCTCATGGACCACTTATCTTCAATTACTCCTCTGGTTCCCATATCTCCAATACTTTGGCTGCAAAAACTAATAAAATTATTTTAAGTAATATTCTCATTCGTGATTCTACTTCTACACATTGTTTCCAAGTTTGATAAAGTCGAGTTTAAGTAAAGATCCACTTTCCGAACTCAAACCAACTAGACTTGGTTTTAATCTCTCAACAAAATAAAACCCAAGGAGAGTGACACAAAGAAACTTCAAAGCTGATAGGTTTACCATCTGGAATATAGATTCCTCCTAAACATAATGTTGTTATTTACAATCCTATGAAGAGGGTGACTTTATCTCTATTATCCCTCTAAACAATTTTCAATAAGATCTATAACATTATCATCATATATACAGAAAAAGAAGTGAGAAGCATAAGATTGACTCTAGATTTGCCAAGTTGAATTTAATTCCAAAAAGGAGTTCACATGAGACATTCCAGCTCTAATACATGACAACAAACAGGAAAAATGCTACTTGAACACAAACAACTATATTGTGTCGTAGATAATTTTTAATGCTACCTCAGTCGAACTTGGATATCAATTTCAATATATAAAATTTCTGGTTCTTTCTGGTTCGAAATCACATTCCTTTTTCTTCTCCACTTTCTAGGAAATGAAGAACATACCAAAAATGAAAGCCACAACTATGTTCTCAGCAAATTAGAACCAAATAAACAAAAATTTTGGTTTTTTTTTTCTTCTACAATCCCTCAGCATTAGCAACTAAAAGGTTCCAAATCATATTCCATATTTTTCTCCCTTTTTGGGAAACAAAGAACATAGAAAAAAACGAAATTTCCAAATATGCTCTCAACAAATTAGAACCAAATATTTATATCAATGGGGTATAAAGATTGAAATGGACTCAAACCCAACTTCCAAAAGCTAGAACATTATTAGAATCTGGTTTATATTGGGGTAGGAAAACAACTATTACGCTACTTGACACAAACGGATGAGGAAGCAGAAAATCACATGAAGTCAAAATTGAATATAAAGAAATGGGGTAAAACCCATTTTCGGAATCAAGAATAACAGAACATCAGTAATTATCAATTGGTGTCGAAAGGATTATCGCGGTGGTCTGGGCGGTCCTCGGCAATTGTCGACGGTCATCGCGTGGCCCAGATCTACAAGAAGACAAAGAACAAGAAGGGATTTTCAGTTAAAACTTTCACCAACTCACACTACCAACCAACAACCATCATTCATCACCACCAAATTAGTAGCAGAAACACCAAAAAAGGAAAAAAATCAGAGAAAAGGAAGGAGACTCATAGGAGGAGGAGAAATGGGATTTTGGCACTGAGTTGTACTTTTCTGCTTTGAAGCAGTTAGGGAGAAAGAAGGTCGGTGATTGACGGTGGGGATTTTCCAGTCTGCTTTGGAAGAAGATGGGCAAGAAGGCAGGTAAAAGAAACGCAGGATTCGACTACTTGAAAAAGAAAGAAAGAAAGAAGTGGGAGTCATAAAATGGACCCTATGTATACTGCCTTTTGTTTTTGTTTTTTTAAAATAAAAGGAAGTGCGAGGATAAAATGAAAATATTATCTCAATTTCATTAATACTGAAGTGAGAAATTCCCGCGGAAGCACGAAACTAGTGCTTCTTGGATTTGTAAAGGAATGGGGAAGAGATGTGCTTATTAGAAACTGCAGCACGTTTGAGAAGTTGACTCATTTGGCGCAACTTGTGTTTTAGAGTCTGTAAGGATAGGGCCGAGGTGCCAAGCCTCGGACTGTTACAGTAATTCCTTTATGACCGAAGTGAGGAATAAATCCAAAGCTTCCCGCTCAAATAGCTGCATGACAATGACAATAAGCATGTTCGCACCTGATTCCTTATGATGAGCGGCACAGCAAGTATGGTAGACATCCGTATATATGAATACCTCTCAAATTCCCGGTCCCGAAATAATCGTCTGGATGGACACGTCAGGCTCCGATTATCTTGCTTGGCATGCCACGTGGGTTCCTCATTGGATCCTATAAATACCCCCCGGGCCACGTCAAAAAGGTAATTGAAACTTACCCTAAGCTCCTTTTATCTCCACTCTAGAGGTAACCCCGATTATTGCTGACTTAAGCATCGGAGTGTCTACCCCGAGGTCCACCTCGGGGCTTTGCATGTCATTCCGGAGTGCAGTTGCGGACTGAAGAAGGACTTCTGGTTCGTTGCAATTACATTGGCGCCGTCTGTGGGAATCGAACTGAAAGCTTTCTAGTTGCTCTTCCATCATGGTTCACACTCGATCAGTTCGAGCTGGTAATTCATCTCTGCCTCTTGGGCAAGGTCAACCACCTACCAACCTTCCACCTCTGATCCCACCTCAAATCCCAACTCAACTTCCACCTCAGCTTCCACCTCAGGTCCCAATTATGTTCCCTCTTGTTGATCATGCAGAAGGAGGAGATGAAAATCAACCTCACACCTCAGCTCACAATTCAACCTCCACTTCCAATCAAGACGTAGTGGCAGCTCAGCTTGCTGCCATGCAACAACAGTTCGGTGTTTTTCAGTTGGTACTGGCTTAGCTTTTAGCCAGAAACAATCCTGGTGACCCCCTTATCAATTTACTAAACCCTGCTTAACAACCCCCAGCTCCACAACAGAATCCTCAACTAGTTCAACTTGCTCCTGCTATTAGCGAATCTCAGGCTCAATCCCACATCGCACCCGCTCAACAACCCATCCCTGATGATGTTACTCGCCGCCTCGATAGCTTGGAAAAGCTAGTAGCCGAACACCGAGGTGCTCTGCCCCCACACCACGCTACTGATTCTATACCTCACCCTCTGAATACCAACATTACACTGGAACCCTATCCTGCTGGCTTCAAAATACCACAACTGGAGACTTATGATGGGACGAAGGATCCCGATGATCATCTGCATGCTTTCTACTCTTGCATGCAAGCTCAGAACGCCTCTGACGCGTTGATGTGCAAGATCTTCCCCTCTACTCTTCGAGGTAATGCCCGAACTTGGTATTACAGTTTACCTCCGAGGTTAATTAGGTCATATACAGAAATGGCATCTGCCTTTGCCACTAAGTTTTCCAGTAGAAGGTTGATTAGGAAAACTACTTCTAAGCTGATGAGAGTTAAACAAAGGGATGGAGAATCTCTCAAGAACTATATGAGCAGGTTCAATGATGCGGTATTGGAGGTTAGTTCCTTTGATCAGGCTATGGGGATTGCAGCTGTGATCTCTGGTCTTAAGCATGACAGGTTCAGAGACAGTTTGATCAAACATGTTGCCACCACCTTCAGCGAGGTGAATGATAGGTCTCTCAAATTTATAACTGCTGAGGAGTACGCCCTGGCGCAAAACCCACCTCCCTCTAAGAACCAGAACCCAGATTGGAGAGATGACAACCCGAGCAGGAAAAGGATGAGGGTGGCGCAGAACCGAGGTCCGATGTTGACTTCCCTGCCGAGATTCGGAAGGCCGGACTCAACACCCCCGCAGCAATCTGCAGGTAAACCTCCAGCTAATTGGACTCCCTTTAATCTGCCGAGGTCGCAAATTTTTATGCAGATTAAGAACAAAATGGACTTGAGACGTCCTGGCCCAATGCGAACTGCTGTTGCTAGTCGAGACCATACCAGATATTGTGATTTCCACCAGGATCACGGCCATACTACAGAGCAGTGTAACAGCTTAAAGTCCGAACTAGAAAGTTTAGCTCAGAAGGGAATGCTGAATGAGTATGTTCAGAAAGCTGAACAACCGAGGTTTGTCAGAGAGCAGAGGCTGCAGCCTCAAGGAGTCCGCAATCCCCCAAATAGACAAGGTGTGGGATATCAGCAAGCCCCACCTCCGCTCCCACCACCGGCTAGAATCATACATATGATTACGGGAGGCCTTGAAGTAGGTGGACTGAGCTCTAAGCAGCGAAAGCTGTATGTCAGAGAAGTTAAGCATCAAAACCGAGCTCAGAAGCGGAAGATTGACGATGCTGAGTGGAAAAATCAGCCCATTACTTTCACATCTGCTGACCTCAACACAGTTGTTACACCCCACAATGATCCTCTGGTCACTTCTGTCATGATCAACAACTGTGAAGTACAGCGTGTCCTTGTTGACACCGGGAGTGCACTCGACATCATGTACTTTCACTGTTTCAAGAGTCTGGGGCTAGATCCAGCATTGTTGCAGAAGTATGATGGTCCTATCTATGGTTTCAACAACCAACCTGTTCCGGTAGAAGGAGTTCTTACCCTCCATGTGGCTTTTGGGAGTGGTCGGACCTATGTAGCCCCTTCAGTCCGGTTCCTCGTC